CAGTAAATTTTCTGTTTTCTTCATGGTAAAGCTGACCTTGGTTGTGTTCTTGGGGTTAGCTCTGTTCACCATTGCTGGAAGGGAAGTAGCCCTAAAGAGAAGCCAGGCCAGGAGAGATGACACTAATTTGTCAACTCCAAGCAGTGGCCATGCCTTTGCTTCCCACATAGTTCCTTGCATGATTCAGTAACTCTTTTGGATTGAATGAAATAAAATCAGTTGCCTCTAGATTTTTGCTAATTCAGTGAGAATCTAGGCTTATCAAAATGGGAGCTGAAGTGAATAACTAGAGAGTGGTTTAACTGAAAAGATTTTTGTAATCATGGTTGGAAGAAAACGGCACTATTATCAGGACTTGCCATATCGGGCTGGCAGTATTGCACAATTTGAGACACAAATATGACAGTGTGACCCTGATAATATTTACAACACTGCCTGTTCTGTCTGCGGAACCCCGACATTTTTGTTTAACCTAGTTATAAACAATGTAACTTTTTGCTCACATACCCCTTGCCGAATTCACGTCCCATGTACAAGGGGACTTGGCAAAATTTGTGGAAAAGTAGAATTGAAGTATGAGTTTATTTTGGTGCAAAAAAATCTGAAATTCATGCACACATTTCCCATGGTCTTTGTAAAGATCCCTCATATTTGAGTCTAGAGGTCCTGAATGTACTTATTAGGATAACTGCATAATAGTTAAGAGCAGAGAATGGTTCATTTCAAAGACAGGAAAATGAATTATGAGACTGAAGAATAAAGACAGCATTTGATTTGACCATGTTAGTCTATCTTGGTTGCTCTTTATATTAGCTATGAGCAAGTATAGTAAAAATGAGGTTTAACAGGGCACTCAATTTCAATCCAAAGAACTGAATTTTAATCCCAGAGCTACTAAGTATCCGGGGGATTTGGAAAAACAAAAGGTTTGCCTCTCTAGGTCGTCTTTTCCATCTTTTTATAAAATGTAGCAAATGCCCCTTTGTAAAATAATAGATGTAAATATCATCAGAAGAGTCATGACATATTTTTCTGTTTTTCCATGCAAAAATGCATCATGACTTTTCTGAGGACACAATACATTTTCAAAATTAAGCTTGTTCAATGATACAGTCCATAGGATTTTTTTAAAAAGTGTTTCAGCCCCACCTAGAGCCTAGGGAAAGTCAGGAAGAATAGCAATTTAGAAAGTAGACACCTTCCATCAGAAAAGCATCCCGCAAACTCCTTAACGTCCAATAGTCAGGTCCTGAACATCAAACAGGGCATATGCAGTGCAGCATATCCAGCCTCAAGGATAATGCCCAGGAGAGTTCTCAGTGACAAAGAAATACTTGCAGCATAAGCCTAGATTCTCATTGAGTTAGCAAGTATTTCTTTGCCTATCAGCACTCCCATATGCAGTATGCCCTCTGTTTTGCTGATAGAGGGGAGTGGAATGGGTCTCCTACATTGTGGGTAAGGGTATGGCTTGCTTGGTCCACTCTGGGCTTGAATCCCAGTTCCTCCACTCGCTAGCTGTGTGTCCTTACTGCACACCTCTGCTTCGGTTTCTCCATTCGTACAGGAAGAGTCCTGGTACCCATCTCAAAACACTGCTGTGAAAACTGAGTTGAGAATGTATGTTAAGGACTGTGCATAGTGTCTGGGCACCCACTAAGAAAAAGTGAACGTAAAAATATACATAGAAAATAAGGTCCTCTAAAATTGATTATGGTGAGGCTTACACAACTCTGAACTTGCTATACAAAAAAATACCATATTTACACTTTATGGATGTATTATAAGTTAGGCATCCCTATTCTAAATGTCCAAAATCTTAAATGCTCCAATATCTGAAACCTTTTGAATGACATCACAAATGGAAAGTTTCATACCCAACCTGATGTGACAAATCACAGTGCAAACACTGTATAGGGACTAGCAGATGGCATAATAGCTATATATAGTCAACTGTTGTTGACTCCTATATAGTCAACAACAGTTCGATTCCTGGGACAGTGGCTTAAAATTCATGCTGAGCATGTGTGTGTGTATGCCCAAGATCCCGAGAGGAGAACAGAGGAGGAGGGATTGCGGTATGGCCACTCACTTTCTGTCTCTCTGTCTCTCTGGTGAGTGCACAGGCTCTACAGAAAAAAAACAAAAACAAAAAACCTTCTCCAAAAAAAGAAAAATACTGTATGAAATTACCTTTGGGCTATGTGTATAAGGTGTACATAAAACAAATGAATTTCATGTTTAAACGTGGGTCCTATCCCCAAGATATCTCATTGTGTATGTATATATATTCCACAATCTGAAAACAAATATCTAAAATTCATAATATGTGTGATCCTATGCCTTTCAGATAACAGATTTTCGAGTTGTATATGGTCTGTGAATTATATCTCAGTAAAGCACTTATAAAAAAAAAACTTAGTTACTTCTGGTGACCCTTTTATTTCCTAAGAAATACAACTTTCAAACTTTTGGCAATGAAAACATACTACTTTTCTAAACTCAATTTTGTTAAAGGTGAGTGTACATGAAATGACAATGTCTTAGATTAGGCGAATGGTTCGAGAAAAAGTGCTGACTTGGCAGGGCTCTGAAGGATCATATATTTCGGCTGCCTGGTTTTTTTGGACAGGTTTTTGCTATAGGGCGCGTGCACTTGCCAGAAAGACAGAGACAGAGAGACAGAAAGCAAGAAATCACCCCCCAGGGGGATGGCTACGCCGCAATCTCTTCTCCTCCATTGTCCTCTCATGATCTTGGGGATGCATGCACATGCGCTTGGCGTGAGTTTAAGCCACCAGGACCAGCACTCGAATCGTGGTTGACTACATGCGAGTTCAGTGACATAGCCATTATGCCAACTGCTGGTCCCTTAGCTTCCTTGTTTTAAGGTGAGGACTCTAAAGCCCAGAACAATCACCTTTAATGCAAGCTTGGACTAGAACCCAGGTTTTCAGACTAGGCAAGAATGGATGTAGATACATGGGTCAGAGTGCGTCTCTTTGCAGTTATAACTGGCCTTGCAGTAATGACATAAACCTAGGGAACAAGGAAAGGGGGCAGGAGCTATAGTGAATAGGAAGAATCAAAATGACTCCAAGAACTTGGGTTTGGGAATTTGAAAGAGTGGGAACTGAAATGAGAAAGGTAAGGAGAGAGGTACTTTTATTGGAAAGAAGCATATAAGTTTGGCCTTGAATGTTGTGAGTTTTGAGAAACATCCCAGATGTTTGACCCATAGGGAGTTTAAGATCAAGACCTAGAATTGCAAGTCAGGGCAGGGCTAGGAATGAAGATTTCATGGAATAAAAGATAAAGCTGTGGAGACTGGGTTGGGGTGTAGTGATAATACAACCGGACTCACCTGAGAAAGATTCTGGGTTCACATCCTGGGACATCCCTGGGCACATCCAGTGCATGTGTACCTGTGATCTGAGCCATCTGGAACTGAGCGTGGATGGTGGTTTGAATATCCTATTGGAGGCATTTTTCTCTCTCTTAAGATATATAAACAAATTTTGAAAAATTTATAGTCTCATTTGTCTTTTAAAATTCAAAGAAAAGTCTATAGTGGAAAATACCAAAAACTCAGGGGATGAGCTGAGAGGGCCAGTTGAAACTTTAAAAGAAATGCCATGGAAGAAGAAATTGTTTGAGTATATGCGTAAGTGGCCCAGTTTCAAGGTAGGCTCAATCATCAATAGTCTGAAATTTAGGAAAGAGGTCAGGAAAAAAAGTTGGAAAAAGAAACCAAGAGTCCTTCAGATTCAACAGGAGGAAGTCACCAGCGATTTAAGCAGCATTTTCAGAGATGGGAAAATGAAGTTGCTTGAATCCCTTATTCAAGAAATTAGGCTAGGAAATAAAAATAAGTTATTTGATGATAGTTGGGAGAGATGGCAGGGCAAAGTAATGGTTTATTCAAGATAAAGCACTCTATGAATATTTGAAAGCAGAAGGAAAGAGATGAGGGAGGAGATTACAACTTTTGGGAGGTAGAAGATAAACCTTGAACAAGAGTCCTGAGAAGGAAAAAAAACTAAGAGATCAAGGCAAGGCTGGAATTGCTAGCGTTACATCCAGAAACATGCTCCCCTTCTTCATGCTTGAATAATTCTAATTTGAAGTATTTTTTGAGTTTGGGAAAGTCTTAGGCTCGTTTTTGGGGAGAGGTTTTTGCTATTGGGCACGTGGGCTCACCAGAAAGACAGATAGTTAGAAAGATACAAAGTGAGAAATCACCCCCCAGAGGGGATGGCCATGCCACAATCCCTTCTCCATTCTCCTCTCGGGATCTTGGGCACACACGCACACACGCATCCGGTGTGAATTTAAGCCACTGAATCCGGGACTTGAACTGTGGTCGACTACACGGGAGTTCAGCAACATAGCCATTATGCGAACTGCTGGTCCTGGGAAAGCCCTAGGCTCTTTACAAGGATTTGAGAGTTCCACTTATATGAGTTTCTCATTGTAGAGGAAAAACAATTAACGGCAGACTGAGGCCTGGAATATTTTTGACCTGATATGCTGTGATTTGAACCTCACCACAGTACCTAGCGCACTGTCATCAAGTCCTTCCTAGTTATTTGCTCCTTGTTGTTCTTCCCTGCTGACTCCAAATGGCATGATCAGAGGGCTTACATGTGCTCTTTTAATCACTGTATCCCAGAAACTTGTACAGTGTCAAATGATAAGAGAAGCCCAGTAAGTGTTTAAGTGGATGAGTGAAGGAATGATGAAGCCACAGCCTCTCCCACAGAAAGGAAACTGGTATTCAGGGAGATAACTCCAGATTCACATAATTCTTGGGAAATGGATCAGGCTTTAGCAAGTGCATCACCTCTTCAAACATCATTTGGTAAAGGGTCTTGGATTTTCATTCCCAATATCTTAAAAGAAAAATCACACATTCCCCCCCAAAGCTATCACTGATACCCTCAAATACCTATGAGAAGCAAATTTAAATAGAGGCTAAAGTGGTATACAAAAGTACTTACTTTCTGTACTGTCTTAACGACAACTTCCTTCTACTTTCTTATCTGTGGAATAAAAACAATGGCGAGAGCTGCTTTTCAGGATAGTTAAGGCTGTAAGGCACATAGACCAGAGTCTGGTGTCTTTCTTAACTGTGTGTATTATTTTATATGTTACTTCCTCTGGAAGTTCAGTTTCCAACTTTGTACAATATTGTGGTTGTACTACCATTAGGTTACCAAGTAGGCTTATGTTTCTGTAGCTTTCCATCTAAAATCCTTATATATCAAAAGCCAAAAATGTCCAGGATCCAGGTGGCAAGATATGCAGCATGGACTCCATAAATAATTGACAATTGACTCAATAATGCTTTCATTTCACCCTTATACAAACTTTGTGAAATGGATGCCATCTCCCTTTTGCAGATGGGAATCAGAGGCTCAGGAAGGGTAAGCTATATGTCCAGTGTCACACACTTACACACCTTCTGCCACCAATTCTAATTCTGGTTTCTTTCCCCCTCCCCCCCATCAGGAAACGATGAGCAGAAGCCCTTGAAAGAATGGTTTCTTATTATGCTTCTGGCAACCATCTGCTTCATCTTGTTAATTTTCTCCCTCATCTGTAAAATGTAGGTATTTACGTTCTAGTGCTTCCAGTAAGATCTAAGTACCGAGTACTGAATTTCTACAATCTTGCTATGCATCCATTAAACAAAGGGTCCCAGTCATCAGGTGGAAATGACAGCATTTTTGTTACTCGATAGCCTTTCCAAGATGAGCAAAGAACAAATCTAAAGTGAAAAACATCAGCAGGTGATTTACAGACACCGGGCAGAGCACAATGCAGCCCTCAGCCATCGCATGCTTCTTCTCGAATTTGTCAGTAGCCTATTCATTTCCGTAAGAGTTTTTTTTTTTTGAGAGATTTTCACTGTAGGGCGCGTGCGCTCGCCAGACAGACAGAGAGAGACATAGAGACAGAAAGCGAGAAATCACCCCCCAGGGGGGATGGTCACGCCGCAATCCCTTCTCCTCCATTCTCCTCTCAGGATCTTGGGCACGCACGCACACGCGCCCAGCGTGAGTATTAAGCCACCGGGTCCGGGACACGAACCGCGGTCGACTACGTGGGAGTCCAGCGACATAGCCATTACGCTAACTGCTGGTTCCCCGTGAAAGTTTTTATATTCATGTTCTTTTGATACCTTCCCAGCCTTCACTTCAGTGCTTGGTTGTCCTTGTTAAGCCACCAGCATGGGCCTTTTACATCCCAGATAGAGGCAGGCTGCCAAAACCACCGAGCCTCCACATTACACTCCTCACTCTTCAGCTGCCATGTCCTCCCTGGCCTTGCCACTACCCAGCCCAAGTGGCTGATTGTTCCTGGGTCCAACACAGATCCTGGAATGTCATGCAGATCTGATATCCTATCCTGGGGCCCACGAGTGACCCACACACTCTTCATCGATTTTAGCACTCAGGAAGACTAAGTAACCCTTTAGGTGGTTTAAATATATACTCTGTCTGGGTTGGCCCTTCATAATTTAGCAAATGATTTTTACAGAAAACAGCTTTACTACTGTAAATGCTATATAGTTGACCCTCAAACAGCATGGGTTTGAATTGCTTGGGTCCACTTACATGCAGATATTATTTTTTCAGAAAATACTATAAAAGTATTTTCTCATCTTTGTGATTTTAACATTCTTTTCCCTAGCTTACTTTATTATAAGGACACATGATATAATACATATAACATAGAAAGTGTGTGTTAACTATGTTGTCAGTAAGATTTCTACTCAACAGAAGGCTACTGGTAGTTAAGTTTTGGAGAAGTCAAAGTTATATATAATTTTTATTTTTGTTTATATTAGATGTTATCTATGGATTGAGGGGTGACCATTCAAAGAAAAATAAAAAAGGATAATAAACTGTTGAGTCAGCACAGTTGAAGGAATACTACATCCAGCACTGTAGGTAATGAGGCACTACACATTTGACATTTATCATCATTTTCAGAAATTAGACTTGGTAATGCCAATGTGAAACAGTTACCATTTTGTCCTTCCTGAGTAATTCAGAAGTCCGTAAGAGTCCTGTACCCTCAAGACCTTCAATTCCTATTACAATGTAGATACATGTAAGTCTTAGTCAAAGATTTTGAATTTACAAAACAGTAGGTCCTTAAATTAGCTAGGTTGATTTTTAGAGTAGATCAGCAAAGATAAAAGGGATGTTCATGGTTACCTAATTCCTTCCTTTACTCTATTTTCAGATGTCACTTATGGACCAAATTGTTTCCACCAATTCCAGCACCAAAAAGTAATATCAAAGATCTCTTTGTAACCACTAACTATGAGGTAATGTTGAAATTTCTTAGGTACCCAGGCTGAGTCCCCTACGAACTGTCACTGGGTTCTTGGTTTTCTGTATTATAAGGCAGGGTTTCACCTAGGAGGCCAGGAGCCTTTCTGTTCCTTCACTGTGTCTTTGGCTGATTGCTTTGTTACATGTGTTCATCAATGTCTTTACATACTGGAAAAGTCCTACTTAATTATGAGTGGAATCGCTAGTCAGATTTGAATTTACCGAGAAATTAGCCTTTTTTTTTTTTTTTTTTTTTTTACTGACTAGGGCAATTCCTCTGCCCTGTGAGCCCCAATTTAGTAAGGGGCACGGATAAAAATGCCCAAGCTCCCCTTAGCTTGACCTTTGAAGACCCCATGTTTCTGCACAAGTACCCTAGTTAATTTTTTTTTCAGGGAAAATTTAGTTCCTTGTCATAAAAACCACAGAGAAGGCAAATGATTTCCCCAAATAAGAATTTTCTTAGGCCTTTACTGAACACTTAGGCTTAACTGAACAGTCATTTACCTATGACTATCCTATCATTTCAGCACTATTTAAAAAGAAAAAAAAAAAAAAAACTTTCCCCTGTGAATTGTCTGGCATCAGAAATCAGTTGTCTATTTATGTCTACAGCTATTTTGTTTCATTGATCTAGCTGTCTATCTTTATGATAATTCAATACTGTCTTGATTACTGTACTTCCACTGTGAATCTGGACACCAGGTTGTATAAGGCCACTGAAATGATTTTTTTTCCCAAAGCTGTTTTGGTTATTTCAGGTCCTTTACATTTTTGTGTAAATTTTAGAGCCAGTTTATCATTTTCCACAAAAAAGAAAAAAAAAAAAAGAAAAAGAAAAAAGGCGGTTGGTTCATTGAATTTGTGTTGAAATACAATTTGAGAAGTGGCATCTTAACAATATTGAGTCTTCTGACCCATAAATGCTGCATGGAACTACATCTATTTATGTTTTCTTTAATTTCTCTCAACAATGTTCTGTGATTTTTCAGTGTACAGTTATTGCACTTTGTTGAATTTATCCTTAAACTGAATGGCTAGTTAGACCAGGGGCCTCCAAACTTTTTCCATAAAAAGCCAGTGTTGATATTTGAGGGCCAAATACTTTCCGTCTCACCTCTCCAACTGCTATGGTAGTAGTGTGTAAATTGTCAGAAGGAATGTGCTAATGAATGACCATGGCCATGTTCCAATAAGACCTCACTTAAAAAACAGGCAACAAACCAGATTTTCCCATGGTTATAGTCAGTTGACTCCTGATTTTAATCAAGCAGTTTCTTAACATAATTAGGTTTCACTCTAGTAACTTTTTTTAAAAAAAGAAGTTTTTGCCTTAGGGCACATGTGCTCACTTGAGAGACAGTGAGAGGGAAAATGAGAATTCACTCCCCAGAGAGGATGATTATGCCACAATCCTGTCTTCATTCTCCTGGGATCTTGTGCCCATCACACGCACACATGTCCAGTGTGAGTTTCAAGCCAACCAGATCCAGGACTTGAACTGTGGTCAGTCATGTGGGAATCCAGCGATGTAACCACTATACCATCTACTGGCCTCATGCTCTAGTAACTCTTGATTGGATGAACCACCTGGTGACTGGTGGTGGGGAAAGGAGAGTTGGTGAAAAACCCACCAAGATGATTTATTTCATTAAGGACTTTCTTTAGACTCTGCAGTTTTGGCATTTAGAATGACTTAGAGACAACAGTAGTGTATTAACCTACTGAAGCAGAGAATTGAAACTGATAAAACAAAGTCTGCCCTTGGGTCAACCCTCATGTTCTCCTTCACCTGAGGAACAGTCCATCCGTTCTTGTTCACCCAGAGCTGTTCTGGAAGGAGAGCAGACCCCGTGTGAGACTTCGTGCCAGTTCATCTGAATGTGGGCAGCCAATTCCTCCCTGCTCCTCCCTGAGAAACCACATCTGCTTCAAACAGCAGACTGAGGTCATTTGTCCTGGCCGCTTAATAGAACATCTTAATGCTGGTATCTAATTTCTCTACAGAGCCCCCAAAAGATTTCCTTTAATAGTCTCAGGTGGGTGAAAGCAACTGGCTTAAGAGCTTATTATATAAGCTAAGGGTTTGTTGCTAATTAAAATCAAGTTGTGTGTGCACAATAACAACTATGGGTAGACAAGCTGCTTTCAGAATAAGCAAAGGATTAATGTCAAAGCTTACAGCCGTCTGGCTTCCCAGAACATCTTACTCTCGTCTCACACTGCAGCCTCACATAAAAACAAACCAACAAGAAAGAGAAAGCATGGAGAACTGGGAAAATAGAGTACCATTTAGTGCTGTCAGTGCCATGACCTGGTTCTCCACTGGAGATTGCATGTGAGCCAGTGCAGAGCTGACCACGACTGGGCTACATGCAGCACTGCCCCAGCTTCTCTCTCCAAAGTCAAAGGCTGTCCAACCCACTCTTTTTTTTTGGGGGGGGAGAGGTTTTTTGCTATAGGGCGCATGCGCTCGCCAGACAAGACAGAGACAGAGCGACAGAAAGCGAGAAATCACCCCCCCAGGGAGGATGGCCATGCCGCAATCCCTTCTCCTCCATTCTCCTCTCGGGATCTTGGGCACGCACGCACACGCACCCGGTGTGAGTTTTAAGCCACCGGGTCCGGGACGCGAACTGCAGTAGACTACGTGGGAGTCCAGCAACATAGCCATTACACTAACTGCTGGTCCCTTCCAACCCACTCTTGATGCTTCTGTTGCAAGGACAAAAGGTCCACAAGTGCTATTGGCAGTGACCTCTGGGAAGCATTTGGCTACTAGAAAAAGAAGCAGTCTACTTTTGATTGTGCTTTGCACCTTTGAGCTTGGTGTGCGTACCCCAGGTCCCAGGAGTTGGGAGATACCTGCCACGCAGAGCTCTCAACAAACAAGCTTTGGCTTGCTCAGACTTCAGTTGGAAACCGTTTTGCAACATTCATGAGACCATGAAGGAAATAAGCTGACCTTTAGCAGTAGAAAAAGACTTATTTTAAAAAATCATATCCTGAGCTTTTGATTAGATACTGGTTTCCAGCTGTTGATTACTTCTATGACGGTAACTTGAGAGGGTTACTTCCACAATTAGACTGACTATAAACTAAAGTACATATGAGAAGCAGCATGTTCCTAAGTGTATGAGAGGACTGAAAGTGTAGACAAATAGAATTGAGATAGAAGTTTATTTGGTGAAAAGTTTTAAAATCCATATGTATTTTTTTTTTCTGCCACAGGGTTTATATGCTCACCAGAGAGAAAGAAAGTGAACACACCAGAGAGAGAGTGAGAGCGCACATATACACTCCTTGATGGGGTGTGGTCATACCACAATCCCTTTCCTCCATTTCTCCATCCTGGCAGGATTTTAGTCATGCACACACATGGGTCCAGTGTGTTTTTAAAGCCACTGGAACTGGAATTCATGTAGATCCAGCTCCCTACACACAGGGGTGAACTGTTGTGTTATGGAACTGGCCTATTTTTTTTATTTTAACAATATGCATCTTCCATGAATATTTTGAAGACCCCTCATATACCCAATGCAGAACACTGTGTCTAGTGCAGAGTATATATTAAAAATGGAATTCAGGGACCAACAGATGGCGTAATGGTTATATCATTGGACTCACATGTAGTCAACCATGGTTCAAGTCCCAGATACGGCAGCTTAAAACTCACGCCAGGTGCATATGCATGCATGCCCAAAATCCCAAAAGGAGAATGGAGGAGAAGGGATTGTGACATGACCTTTCCCCCAGGGGTTGATATTTTTTATTTCTCTGGTGAGCATATGCACAGTTCAGCAAAAATCCCTCTTAAAAAAAAAAAAAAAAAAAAAGAACTTGATTTCTTACAGGTTATATTATTTTTATTATAAATTTTCTAATTGTTATCAGCATTGCTTAAATGTGTCAAAACTGGACATAACTACCCAAATTTAGGAGAGAGTAAGCAAGAGCAAGCAAGCGTTACCTATGGAGAAAATACGATAGACCTATTAAAAATGATGTAATTAAAGAACAGATGACAATGTAACTTAAAATATATTAAATTAGAAATCAATTTGTAAGGCTGTGTATACAAATGACTTCATGGAAGTATAAAGAAAACTATGCTTAGAAGAAAATTGTTGAGGAGAAACAGCATGCTCTGTGTAGAAGATAGGTTTATGAGTAAGTACTGTTTTCTTCTTCCTACTTCATTTTACACATTTTCTTCAGTGAACATTCCCCACCACCCCCCCCCCAGAGGGTATGTGTGCTTAATGGAGAGAGAAAGAGACAAAGTACCTTCCCACAGGGAATGGTCATGTCACAATCCCTTCTCTTTCCTTTCAGAATTCTGGCTACATACACTCACAACCGACATGTTTTCCAAGTCACTAGGTCCAGGACTCAAATGGTGCAGTTGGTCATGTGGAATCCATCCGCCTTACCCTCGCCACTGACAGGCCCCATTTAAGCTAAAAAATTTGAAGAAACACAAAGTTCTCTACCACACAACTAAGAAAACGTTATTTGTTTTACAGAAAACTGGCTCCAGTGAAACAGAAATTGAAGTCATAAGTTATGTGGAAGAGCCTGAATTTGAGATCCTGGAAGATTCTGTGTTTTGATCATCACTGTGGCATTTTCAAGTGAACTCACACACGTGCCTCAGTGATAAGAAGAACAGGGACTACTGATTCTTGGCTAAAGAGGAGCTGAGTTTCCTGAACACTCAGTTTAGCTGCAAGGCAATATACCCAGACATTCCGGTCTTCTGTTTCTTAAAAATGTAGGCTGCTTCACCAGAACCTCGTCACTCATAGTGGGGTGCGCCATTCATCTGAGCAGTCTACCATGGTTTTCTTCCCATACTGTACAGGTTGGCGCCTCCTCATCCAGCAATCTCTGTGATTTGCATGACTTACCTCAAATGTTTTTGCACAAGAGACAGTTTTTAAGGCTAATGTCAACTGTGCTCACTTCTGGTAGTGCCACTTGGGCTATTTAAGCTGCCAGTGGTAACAGAATCTCAGGAAGAAAGCATTTTTGCACCAGCCTGGAGAGAATCATGAACTGGGATTCATGAGTGGCTTCCCTATCGCAGGTGGGAGCTACATATTCATAGTGCTTTTTTCCCCCCGAGTTGTAGAATAATTTTTCAAGGTAGGAGTGTGTGTGTGTTGGGGAGAGAGAGATAAGGAGAGAGTAAGCAAGAGCAAGCAGTTTAGAAAGATCATTGGATAAGAAATTACTTAGCAAGGAGCTGAATACCAGGCCAAAATGACCCCAGTAACGTAGAGAGGCCTGTCTAGAAATGCCAAAACCTGCTTATGGGTAGGACCACTAGGCAAGGTCTTTAAGAGGTGCTGCAGTAATTAGCAAAATGCTTGATCACTCAGTTGATGCAGAATCTCTGCAATGGTGGAGATTCTGTTTTAATGAACACCTTAGGTCAGGTGTTCAGTCTTGACCATGCATCAGATGCATGCCGAGGGCCCACTAGGACACAGCAGATTGGGCTGTCTTCAGGGTCTGATTGAGTAGGTCTGGAAGGGCCCTGAGAATGTGCATTTTGAACAAGTTCCCAGGTGACACTGATGCTGTTGGCTTGCAGACCACACTTAAAGAGCCACTGCCTTGGGCTTACTTAAAATTATCAATGTTCAAAAACCAACTGTTGAAGGAAAGTGCTAGAAAAGGTCTATCAAAGACACTGTCCTTGCTGGTGGACTTAGACCTCTCTGCCTGATCTCTTTCAAAGTGGAGCCTAGAAAACCAGTCTTACAGACTCTGCTTCTGCTGAGACTAGAAGGAAGCCAATCTCATGTGTGGCCATTTCTTCACTGATCCGGTATTCACCTAGGATGCCTCCCTCGACCTCAGCAGCCAACGACCTGGGCTCTGACCTTTTCCAAGCTGGGACACCATCTGGCCCTTGGCACATGTGTCAGGATCAATCCTTAAAGGTCATCCCTGTGGCCTCCCCAATGACCATGTACTGCTCCTTCCTCACTCCTCAGCTTGCAGAACTCACTCTTTGGACTCATATCCAACATTACCTCCTCAAGAAAGCTTCAAAAGCAGAGTTTGTTGATCCTTCCTCTGAATCCTCATTCTGGACCTCATCCCCTTTCCTGGAGCTACTGCATGGTAGGGTATGCCGTGAACACTGGGGTGACTCCCTGCAAGACCGTGAGCTCCAGGAGAACGGAGCTCATGGGAAATGCATCTTTTAATCTGCAGGGTCTGAGATATAACCTGGCCATTAGAAAGTATAAATGCTTCTTAGACCTCTTATACCCTGTGCGTCTTAGCACAGCATTCTGCATATCATTAGAACTCAACAACATTAGGCAGAGATCAAGACTGCAGTAACACTATGGAGAGGAAGACAGGTGCTTGGGGAGGAGACTGGAAGTAACCAAGAGACACTGCTATGGCCTGGAACTCTTAGAGACAATGTAGCTTAGTTGTTTCACATAAAATTGCTGAATTAAAGGGATCCAGCTTCAGAACGGGTTCATTTTGAGTGGTCTGTACTCTACTCACTAACCTTGTCATGGCTTACCACAGAACCTGAACAGTCGCTTAAGGGTAAGCTGAGGTCACCAAAGTGGTTCCCACCAGCACAGGGTGGAGAGTGATCTTCCTCCTAAAATCTCCATAGCCACAGGATCAGAACAAATCTTGGTTCTCTGAGATGTCCTTTCCAGTAAGGATTTTGGGTCATTCTCTTTCCTTGGCATCTGGGGAATACAAGGGAGAAGAGAGGAAGGAGTTCCTGTTTGCCAACAGCTCGACCACCTGAGTCTCATTGAAATGCCTAGGGCCTCAAGCAATTTATGCAGGCTGGGGAAGAACCCACGTGGGCAAAGAACATCCTGATTAAAAATCCAAACGTTTTCATGGTGAGACTTGTATGTGTCAGGACCATCTGTTGGTGGAATTAATAAACCTTAGGTGCTAATTTGCTAAAGAAAAAGTAGATATCTTGAAGCGAGAACAGAGAACTGAAAACAATCTTTGATGGCACGGGTAAAGGTGAAAAACCTAATTAGAACAGGACTTTGTGTTAGCCCGAGGATCTTTGTGACAATGACTATGTAGCTATTCCTGCTTCTACGTCCTACAAATTGAGTTCCAGAGTTCAAACTTTTTGAAAACCATTCTTTTCTTTAGAATTTTATATTGAATTAAAAGACAATCTTGTTTTTCCCAGTAGCTCTCTGCTTTAAGTTAATAGATGTGAATGTAAATGTGGTTAAGAATAAGAAATGTTTAATAAAGGACAGTGAATAGTCTAAGTCTGCAAATTAAAGAGTATAGTTCTCATTTTCCCTCTTCAATATTTTCCTTCTCTGTTCCATCATCTCTCAGTTAAGGCCATTGCAGTAGCCTCTGACCTAAACTCCCAGGTGCCAGTATTTCCTCCTGCTGAGGGATCTATGTAAAGGGCACATATGCCCATATCATCCTCTGTCCAAACATCCTTAAATAACTTCCCATCACCTTTGAGCAAAATGTCCTTCAAAGACAAAGTCCAGGGTCGGTCCTGTAACCTAGTGGTTAAGGGAGCCAGAGCCGACATAGTCGACTGTGGTTTAAATCCCAGTTGGGCAGCCCGAAAAACTCACCAGGCACCTGTGTACGCAGGCCCCAAACACCAACAGCAGAGAGAAATGGAGAAGGGATTGCAGCTTGAGCACACCCATTTGGGGGTTCTTTCTCCCTTTCTCTCTCCAACTTTCTGGCACGTGTGGGGAGGGGATGGAGGTCTACTATGAATTGGCTTCTCAGAGGCTCTCTAGCCACATTCCCAAGAATGACCACTTCTTTGGCACTGCACAGTTTTCTGCAAGCACCATGCTGCCTGTTCCTTCTGTGCTTCAGCTTAAGATTTTTCTATGGTGGAAAATCCCTTTCAACCTTTTCTTCATCTTGACACTTCATCTAAGTCTCGGCTCTTCACCCCCTTTACGTTCCCCAGCTACCTCTGATTAAGCCTATCAATTACTGCCCTCCTCTCAATTTATGAATCATTTAAGGCATAAACACCGAGGTCAAGAACGGCGTCTTGGTTATCTTTGCAAGTAGAAACCGACCACCAGTGAGGCTTAGCCAAAGAAAAAAGAGTTTCTTCCATGTACATCAGCATAGATTCAACTTAAGAGCCTGAAGAACTAAGCGCAGTAGACCCGTTCAGTAACGCTGTCTGATTAGCAGCAGAAATGAAACCGTTGCTGGAGTTTAAAGAAGTAGTAAGCACTCACTGTTGGCGTGGCGCCTGCGCCAGAAACGCTGTCGCGGACTCTGCAGCAGCAGCTCCCTGAGCTCCCGGCAGGCCCTGCGGGGACCCACGCTCCAGGCTCCCCCGCACGTCTGTTGTCAGGGACTTAATACCGCGGCCCACGTGGTCCACGCAGCCAACATTTCAGTCAACGATTTTAACGTGAAGGCGTCTTATTAGGTTTGTTTAAAACAAAGATTTGTTCTCACCAGGTGATACAGTGAAAGAACATATCAACCTGGCGGCCGGGCGGAGAACAGCGGTGAGGAGAAACGGTGGAAAGAAAATCCCAACATCCGGGTGCCATAGTTCAAAGGTCAGCCTGGTTCTTAAAGGGCTGAACAGTAACGATTTTCACCTGTGACGACCATGTGGTCTCTGTTGCCTACTCGGTTCTGCCATTATGATGCCACATATTGGCCACGGAAGATACATGGATGGAATGGGCCTGGCTGTGTTCCGATAAATCTTTATTTAGAAAGGATAGGCCGCGAGCTAGATTTGGTCAGTAGAGGATACTCATTTGCAGTACACAGCTCAATGGTGCCAACATATGTCACGTTTCAGTGTTTTTCTTTTTTTTGGAAAAGTCACCAATTTAAGAAAATAATGATAATATGTCATCAAATAAAAGTATTTTATTGTACGGGTTCAGGAGTGAGAAAATTTGTTGTGTCTGACTGAACTTTTAAGCTCATTATTGGTTGTTCTGCAAAAAACACAGGTCCAGCATTCTATCCATACTTTTATCTGCCCACATTGTCCTACTACATTTCAAATAAGTGCATGTTTCTCTCTGTGTAAGGAGGGAAGCCTTAATCCAATTTATCTCCACTTATCTAGTGCCCAGCACAGTGCTGGGCACACCCTCAGGACTCAACAAATTATTTGTTCAATGCTACGCACAGGAGGAACGGCTGGGTGAGTTCAAACTGCCAACTATGTGGGCTCAGAGGTTTTAATTTTACACCCAGCTGTGGCTTAGATTCTTCTCAGGAACAAGTTCTTTTTATAACCCTTTTGAAATATCTCCAGAGTACTCCTGACCCCATTTTTCACCTCCTTGCCTCAAAAGTGTGGTCCTGTGCTCGGGAAAGATTGCTGTGACTTTATACTCATTGTTGCCAGCTCTAAAAAATAAAATTAAAAAAAAAAAATCCTCATCCACCAGCCCTGACTCTCTGGAGACGTGTGTGTGTGCGTGTGCATGTGCATACACACAACATCTTCACACCATCCAAGGAAAGGGAGAAGAGGTCATTAAAACAAAAGGAATTCACAACAGTAAACCTCAAGTCCCACCCTCAGAGCTACTAATCTTCAGAGCTCTGATAACACAAGTGAAGACCCTGAAATTCTTAGAAAATAATGACCTCACTGGAGGTTGGGGGGGCACATCTTCCTCCCTGTGTAAGGTCACCAAATTTAGTCAACTGAGGGACCAGCAGTTAACGTAATGGCTATGTTACTGGACTCCCACATAGTTGACCACGGTTCACGTCCCGGGCCCGGTGGCTTAAAACTCATGCCGGGCGCATGTGCGTGCTTGCCCAAGATCCCAAAAGGAAAATGTAGGAGAAGCGATTGCGGTGTGGCCATCCCCCCTGGGGGGTGATTGCTCACTTTCTGTCTCTCTGTCTCTGTCTGTCTGTCTGGCGAGCGAGCTCACGCGCCCTATAGCAAAAACCTCTCCAAAAAAAAAAAAAATTTAGTCAACTGAAATATAGGAGGCCCACATAAATTTGAATTTCAGATAAATATGGCATGGGACGTAAACGAATAAAGTACACTTTTAAAATCTGAAATCCAAGTTTAACTGGTCCTCTGTATTTCATCTCTCAGTCCTGATCTTGCATGGTAACTTGCGTGTGAATGCTCTAAGATACTTGAAATCAACTATGAAAAACAAACAAGCAAAAACATGATTTCTAGTTAAAGAAAGAGGCTGACAAGCTGGGCCATTTTGGGGGTGCAGAAATCACCACACCTGAGCTTTATGGGCTTACTCTGTAGGAATCCTACACCTGGAAGCATAGCCCGTGACCCTGAGTTGTTTTCAACAACTCGTCTACAATGTCCTTGGAAGTTTACCATGTCCTGTTCTTCTTGTTACCGCATAGGAACCAATGTCTGTCTGTCTACCTGTCCATCAGTTATCTATTTATCTATTATTTATGTATTTATCTATCACCTATAGCTATCAGGTGTTTTGGAGGAGTGGGGCCTTGGAGCTAAGCCACCAGCATCTGAATTCTTTTTTTTTTTTTTTTTTTGGAGAGATTTTCGCTATAGGGCGCATGTGTGCCAGACAGACAGAGAGAGACATAGAGACAGAAAGCAAGAAATCACCCCCCAGGGGGGATGGTCACGCTGCAATCCCTTCTCCTCCATTCTCCTCTCGGTATCTTGGGCACGCATGCACATGCGCCCGGCGTGAGTTTTAAGTCACCAGGTCCGGGACGCGAACTGTGGTCAACTATGTGGGAGTCCAGCAACATAGCCATTACGCTAACTGCTGGTTCCCCGCATCTGAATTCTTGACCTTTCTGGTCAGTCATGTGACCTGGGACAAACCTCGACCTATTAGCCTTGGTTCTCTATGTATAAAATAGGAATAATAAACAGTAACTAACTCACCAGGTTGATACTCACTGAGACTGGCAGATAGCCATTGATGACTATTATTATCAGTGCATTTCTCTGTATTGTGACAAAATACTGCTTCCAGTCCCTTGAGTCCCCACCTGCATCTGACTGCCACATCACCCTGTAGTAGAATGGTGCCAGGCACAGAGAGGGCAGCCAGTAGTTCCTCACTGTATAATGAAAGCTCATGTTATGGGCCTTCTATGCTGCTCCTCTGAGCAGCAGTGCCATGGGCCTGGCCATTATTGAGGACTTCTCCACTTCCCACATCTCAGCCTCAAACATTCCACCTCCAACTTCCCCATTTTCTTCTTGCCTACTCAGTGTCTTAGAATTTAAAAGTGCCGTGTCCTTTCTCTCAGTGAATATTTCTAGGTATTTAAATGCACTGAATTAAAGAGTTCTATATTCTAGTTCTGACTTCCGAACTGTCTGCATAAATTTTGGTTTCTGGTATCAGCTTTTTGCCTCCATGTCATAAATGAAACATGAATAAAATCTACATCTCCTACTTCTTAGTGTAAAGAGCACTAAGGAAACTAGAAAACAAAGATATTAACTATTATTCATAACAATAAGAAAGAAAATATAACAAAAACCCAAGTTACAGAGATGGAAATATCCCATTCAATTGCAACCATAACAAAGTACCTTGGCCTTACAATTTCCAGACTTTCAGATCTATCATACAGTTGATCTTTTTTAAAAAAAAAATAAAGTTTATCTCTGTGCGATCTATATTAGAGCTCTGGTAATCTGCAACTGATCATAACTGTCAGTAATAAAGGAAAGAAGCCAATTGTGTTTAAACTGTGAACTCTGTTGAGTATTGCAGTTTACACTTGACTTGTGGAATTGGAACATTTAATCTGCACAGCCCATTTGGCACGAAGGGAAAAGGAGCCTCCTTGCAGAATGGGCAGCCTGACTTGCATGTAATCTCACTCTGGTGGGGGGACTAGGAAATCATGAAAAGATGACAAATCATCTCCTGCCTTCAGCTTTGCTAGCATTCAAGCTGGAAGGAGACAGGCCCCAAGCTCAAGGAGCATGGTCAGGAATTACATCCGTAGTTCCTCACTGTATAATGAAAGCTCATGTTATGGGCCTTCTATGCTGCTCCTCTGAGCAGCAGTGCCATGGGCCTGGCCATTATTGAGGACTTCTCCACTTCCCACATCTCAGCCTCAAACATTCCACCTCCAACTTCCCCATTTTCTTCTTGCCTACTCAGTGTCTTAGAATTTAAAAGTGCCGTGTCCTTTCTCTCAGTGAATATTTCTAGGTATTTAAATGCACTGAATTAAAGAGTTCTATATTCTAGTTCTGACTTCCGAACTGTCTGCATAAATTTTGGTTTCTGGTATCAGCTTTTTGCCTCCATGTCATAAATGAAACATGAATAAAATCTACATCTCCTACTTCTTAGTGTAAAGAGCACTAAGGAAACTAGAAAACAAAGATATTAACTATTATTCATAACAATAAGAAAGAAAATATAACAAAAACCCAAGTTACAGAGATGGAAATATCCCATTCAATTGCAACCATAACAAAGTACCTTGGCCTTACAATTTCCAGACTTTCAGATCTATCATACAGTTGATCTTTTTAAAAAAAAAATAAAGTTTATCTCTGTGCGATCTATATTAGAGCTCTGGTAATCTGCAACTGATCATAACTGTCAGTAATAAAGGAAAGAAGCCAATTGTGTTTAAACTGTGAACTCTGTTGAGTATTGCAGTTTACACTTGACTTGTGGAATTGGAACATTTAATCTGCACAGCCCATTTGGCACGAAGGGAAAAGGAGCCTCCTTGCAGAATGGGCAGCCTGACTTGCATGTAATCTCACTCTGGTGGGGGGACTAGGAAATCATGAAAAGATGACAAATCATCTCCTGCCTTCAGCTTTGCTAGCATTCAAGCTGGAAGGAGACAGGCCCCAAGCTCAAGGAGCATGGTCAGGAATTACATCCAGCTCTAACCTGGAGTAGTTCGCTGTCTGCTAAAAGGGAGAACACACAAATGAAAGGGATTTCAATACTAGGTACAAAGGGATGACTGACATGAGCAGGTACTGATTATGTGCCCTGGGAGTTACAGGCAAAAGGGAGCAATGCCAGATGGAAAAACAGAGGCTCTGTAGAAAACCTGGCACCTAAATGAGGACCCTATTGCCTTCTTATTTTATTAATATTAGCATCACTGTGTAAATTATCAAGCATTCGGTTTTATTATAAAAGTGACTAAATATTACTATGTAGTATTTACTATTACTATTAATTACTATTACTATTTTGTATTCACTATTATTACTAATATTACTACTTAAATAGTAATATCTAAATAAGTGATTATGATGTGCCAACTGAGTTTAGGTCATTTTAGTGATGGAAAGCAGTCACATCCTACATCTGTGGTTTTGTTAAGTTCCTCGAGAAGAAAAAACAGTAACTAGATTATAAACAATCACTAATGTTTAGAGAGCCATGTGCTTGAGCTTTGCAAACTTTATCTGGCTTAGTAAGTGCCAGTCAACAGGATGCACACAGCAGTTCCAGTATCCACATGCTTAGTGATTGCATTAGGCTGCCTTTGAAAAGCCCTAGCCGCTGGCATTTGGGGAATGTCTACAAATTGCAAGTTCTTGGTTTTAAAGGCTTGCCCCAAGGGATGAGTGGATAAAGAAAGAGTAGTCTATATATAAAATGAAGCCTTAAAAAATAAATAAATTCTATCTCTTGTGACAGTACAGGTATAATTGGAGAACATTACACTAAGTAAAATAAGGCAAACAAATATCTTACATTCTAACTATCACGTGGAATCGAAAGTAACTGAACTCATAGAGGCAGAGAGTAGAATGGTGATTACTAGAGGCTGGGGGTGGGGGCATGGGGAGATGATAGGCAAAGAGTACTTAGCCTCAATTAGGAGGGAG